GCTTCTTTATTTTATTATTTTTATTTTATGTGTATGAGTATATTGCCTGCATGTATGTGAGTGTACCCATGTCATGCAATGCCACGGAGATCAGAAGAGAGCTTCAGATTCCCCTGGAACTGGAGTTAAGGATGGTTCATAGCCACCATGTGGATGCTGGGAACCAAACCCAGGTCCTCTGTAAGAGCAGTCAGTGCTTTTATCCACTGAGCCATCTCTCCAGCCCCTGTACCTTCTAAATAGATAAAATTAATGACAAATTTTATAAAGGATGGAAGAAAGGGAGGAATTAGAAACAGTAGTATAAGGCTCTTACACCATTATTAAACAGATACAATGTGATACAATTTTATATTTACATATTTTTGTGTTTATATTTTTATACAACATATATTTAATATGTTATAAAATATACTTTCCAAATCCCAGTGCAACCACTAAAAACCATTTAAAGCTGTTTTGGTAGTGTACACCTTTAATCCCAGCACTCAGGAGTTAGAGACAGGTGAATCTCTGTGAGATCAAGGCCAGCCTGATCTACAGTGAGTTTCAGGACTGCTGGAGCTACAGGGAGGCCCTGCATCTAAAAAATATTAAGCTAAATATGCTAGGAAAGGACATAAAATAGAGTTATGAAATGTACAATTAAAGCTGGCCAAAGTAGGGAAAAATGGAGAAAAAGAAAGACAACAAATGAACAGCAGTTATAAACACAATAGATAGGAATACACCTGTATTAATAATAACTCTAAACTCAAATAGTCTGAAGACACCAACTGAAAGTTAAAAACTGTAGAAGTGGAAAATCTTAACTCTGTGTAGCCTATGAGGAAAGTCATTTAAATATAAAGATACAGATAATGAATCTCTGTAAAGTGATCTAGTAAAGGGATCCTCTCCCAACACTCATCAAAATCAAACTGGAATAGCTGTATTAATTTCAAACAAAACAGATTTTGGACAAAGGTAAATTATCAGAGACAGAGAGAATTGGTACATGAGGGTGAAGGGAAGGGATCAGTTATCCAAAAATACATAACAGTCTTAGATGAGAGTGTATCTAACAACAGACTGCTCAAAATGTATGATATAAAAAAATAAAACTACAAAAAGAAATAGACTCACAACTACAGCTAGAGGCTTCAAATCCCATCTTTCCAATGAACAGACACCACACACACACACACACACACACACACACACACACACAAATACAGTGTAAATATAAACAAAATGAAGAGCACCTGCCATCAACCCACATGGTAGACGTACCCTCCATCAACCTACCTCATGGACTTTACAGAATGCTTCATTCATCAGGCAAATCTGCATGCTTCCCAAGCTCACATGGACTAGTCACCCAATAAAACATAGCTTGAGCCCTGCTACATTCCCCATGAGTCTAAAAGGGTAGAAATAAGAACAAAGTTTTCTCTCAGACTACCTGTATTTAAACTAGAAATCAGTGACAGGAAGAAAAATGGAAATCCCAAAACCATCTGGAAATTAAACAATATATTTTAAAATAATAATAAATAGGTTCTTTAAAGTCTCAAAAGAAAATTTAAAATGGGTCAAATTAATGA